AGACCGCTCCGGGGCCGACGGGTGGAGGGGCAGGGCGGGAGGGGGTGTGGGGGGGCAGGGCTGGGATGCTGGGGTGAGGTGAGCTGTGGGGTACGCGGATGATAATGTGCGAGGTAATAGCTTTTCTATGCAGAGCTGCAGGTTCTAATATACAGTATGTCACGTTGTAAAATGTGCAGACAGCTGTGGTCACCAAAGACCCCATCCCTGGGGTCTCTCTCTCTCTCTCTCTCTTTTCCCCTTCTCCATCTCCATCTTCTCCAACCCTTCTGCAACAATGGCTGCCGAGTGTAACGTGCTACCTTTAATTTGCAATAACACGTGACTACAGCAAATGAATGGCTCTTATGACACCTGTGTCCCTGAAGCTCCTCTTGCTCAGACCTGGTGTACATAACGTGCGTCACACTGCATTATGTCTACATCGCTCTCGTAATGGAAGACCTTTTTTTTTTTTGAGGGCACTGCTGACTTGGAAACTCGGGGGCTGCCGGCCTGCTTGGCTGCGAGCCACAGCTTCAGCCTAAAACAAATCTTGTAGCTACACGGCCAAATCACTTCAGCTGAGCTTGTGGAGCTCTTCGCCGTTTCCCTCCCAGTTCCTGTGCTCATTCCTGTTCATGTTTTCAGCCTTTGATAATGGATGCTGTCGCCATTATTATCACGAGGCTTATGGAGTTAAGTAGAACTCAGGCAAGCTCGAGCGCTTTGAGAAACATTTAAATCCAGGCAGTTACTAACTACACAAAACACAACAAGGCGAGAGGGAAAGACATAAACCAAAAATGAATTCCTCAAAAGGAAATGATTCTGGGTTTGCTAAGACTTGGAGTACAATATACAAAAATATATAAAAATGGTTGTTTTACCCATTGAAATACATACTTTGTGATGATAAAACAAAACCTAGAATTTTTTTTACTTTAGCTCTTTCCCAATTAAAAGGCATTTTATTACATTTTTTTAATGCTCTTCAGATTCTGGATATCAACATCAGTGTGAGGCCTGCACAGAAACTACACAGGTTTTTGTCCCCTACCTTAAAATCGTTTGACTTTTGATGCCTAAGAATGCCCAAAAGCTCTCAGAAGGAAAAAATAACATTTGTGGTTTTTTATTTTTAGAGCCAGGAGGATGGCAAAAAAAAAAAACACTTCAAAGTTGAACCTAAAACCTCAGTATTCCCATGTTTACCACCGATACACTGCAGCTTTTTTAGCTACACTTGCCCCCACCAAAACCTCCATGGCCCCAAAATAGCATGAGAACATATTATAAGTTATGATTCAGTTTCAGAGGACACGGCGGCCGACCAGTTGCGTGTTGACATTGGTGTATTTTGTTTGGTATGGTTCACTTTAAGAGAGGACAACAACAGGACAGCAGTGTCTACAGGGTAACTTTGTATGTAATATACTATTCCCACAAAGTGTGGCTTGAGGGGAGACATTGCTTTTTCAGCCGTGTTTGTGTGTGCGTGTGCGTGTGTGTGTGTGTGTGTGTGTGACACACGCCTGGGGTTTATGTTTTGGAAAGATAAAGTATCTCTGACCCTGTAGTTCCAGGTAGGCACCAGCTGGCTGCTGTGAGAGTATATGAGAAGCAGCCCACCGCCCCAGCCTTCCCCTCTGCACCCCACTACACCCTCAGTACAAGTTCTACACTGACACACAAACAGAAACACACACGCTCAGAGACACACAGGTGCACACTGCCTTCTTCTCTTTCATCGTAATACTGGCCGAGCACCTAAATCACAGAATGGCAGCACATCAGGGGAATCATTGGAGACTGAACAGCCACAGAAACATGGTGCTGTCACCTGGAAGACCTCCACAAAACAGGCCAGCTCTTCTTTTCACACACACACACACACACACACACACACACACACACACACAGACACACACACGGAGTCCTTATCCTTACTGTGCCCTTTAATACCTTCATGCCCTTCAACGGCAATCTGCATAGAAATGTGTGCATTCTATCACTCAGTGACTAGACATTACACCCTGGCTAATATGAGAGGGCCTGGAACGGCTGAAAATGAACCCTTGAAAATACCAGACGTGTGCATTATGCCTCCACAATTGCATATCTTACAGGGGAAGGCTTGATTATGTCATTTGCCATGTCCACGTCATGCTGGTTTTTATATCTTTGCCAGGAAATCTACCTCTGACAGGTCATTAGTCATCCCTCCCTCCCTGCCGCACACATAAAACATCAATTCCACTCAATATCCCACAAACCCCTGTGCTTCTCAACAAACGCCAGAACAAAGAGGACGCTATGTAAACTGCTGCCGCGCTCTGATTAGCTCTCATTCCGGAGCACTGCAGAAATAAGGCACTCATTCCCCACCCTGTTTGAGATAACTGCCCCTTTTCAGCAGCCACATCATCCCCCTCGTAGCCATACACGCCTTGTAACATGAGTGCATCTGTTTAGCTATTCTCATCAGCTGCTTATGTAGTGACATTAAGGAAGCCTATTGCTTACAGAACCAATAATCTACATCGCCTCAGGCCCCTTTATATCCACTAACCTTCTACCTCTGCAGCAGCACAAGTGGAGACACTTTTGTTGAGGGGGCGGGAGGGGGTAGGAAGGGGAAAAAGAGAAGCCCTCCACAGAGCTATAGCAGCTCTCTTGACTGACCTGGGTGGATGGCTACATCATCTTGACATGTAATTATCTAAAGCCCTTTAATCACTTCCATAAAGATTAATTGCAGGAGACAACAGCGGAGGTCGTGTCTTCAAATCAAAAGCCTCCTTGGCAGATTGACACAGCAGCGTAACACAGTTCAGACTCAGGTGTTTTATAAGGGTCATCTAGTGGAACTGAAACAGGTTCTAGAGCTATAAAAGCAGACTCAGCAGAGTGGCTTTATGCTGTAAGTTCCTCCTACTTTTACAGTGTCTTCTGCTAAATTATTGCGCTGCTTTTTTTTACTTTAAATCAGAAAACCAAACCAAACAAAAAACAAAAAACAAATAATAATAATAATAATAATAAAAAAACATGTCTTACCTTCATCTCTTTTCCTTTTTTCGCCATTGGATCGAGGAATACCCAGAATTCCATTGATGGAGTAGGATCCAGCTGGGTCATTGGAGGCGCTGGTTACAGGCGGAGACGCTGTGTTTGGTACTGGGGATGGATTAATTAATAACATTAATAATAATAATAATAATAATAATAATAATAATAATAATAATAATAATAATAATAATAATAATAATAATAAAAATGTACCTATAGTGTGGCCTGGTGTGGACAGGGATGTCCCATCAGGAGACGGATGGAAAGGCTGCTGGACTTTTGTCCTGATGATCCTGCAGAATGAAGGAAATGCAGAATTAAAGCTGCTGCTGCTGCTGCTGCTGATTTAGATCAATAAATTAACGCCTGGTTCAGCCGCGGCAGCTACAATATGGAGATGATGTACGATGGAGTTATCAGAAACAACTCATGTGCAGGGAGGGATGTGGTCGCTGCTCCTGCCGCCTCAAAGGTGAGGTCTGGAGAAAAGTCTTCATTGCACTTTTGGTCTGAGCGATCTTGCAAACAAAGCATGAAATCACATCAATTCACCTCAATGATCGGCTTCACTGACTCTACCTGGCCCACACTAATCAGCTCTCCCCCATACTCCCTTTCCCCTCTCCTCCCTCTCCCCTTCACTGTGGACCGAGGGTTTGGCAGGGCCGGTGGAGAAGCCCTCTCTGCTTCCCAGATCAAACATCTCTGTAGAACCAGCGGCCCCTGAGTGCCAATGTGGATGAGGTTGTATTGATCGTAGCTTGGGGAGAAAAAGTTGGGGATTAGTCACACGGGCAAACAGATGCAAATAGAAAGCTATAAATTATATGTGACAGGAAAGCAATAGTTCCTTATTGCCTTGCACAAGCTTACGCCAGCATTAGATTCCTTTAATCTGAATGGCACTTGGGGAGAAAGGGAGCTGTCACAATAATTTGTAAACTTTAAGACTATTCATCATGTGGGCCACGAGGAGCTGTTCCAGAGTGGGGCCAAAAAGGTCAGCTTTTGGAATTATATGTATATCCGTTGAAAGATGATTCCATCAGACTGAGCAGCTTTAGAACCTTTATTGAACTGGAATGAGTACTGAATATTTATATCCAACGGAATGACAGGATGCAGTTGCAATGATGTCATTGGAAAACACATGAATTAGGTAACATAGATTCGTGGAAGTTTTTTTTTTATCTTAAATTTCCAGATACTTTGAGTAATTTTTTCAACTTTGTTTAAAACTTTTTTTTTTAGAGAAGCACCCAGATGTGCCTTATTTAATCTCACTCTCCCCCATTTCCCATCATCCATAGTATCCAGACCTACATCGGAGGATTTTGATATCGATGTAACTGTTCGAGCCAGAAGGCAGCAGAGGAATAAATTCGACACTGTCACCAAAAAAAAAACAAAACAAAAACAAAAACAGAGAACTCCCCTCGGAGGCAAAGCTACCTGACAACAAGCTTTTTCCACACAGCGTATATTGACGTTTTAATTTTTTTCACTTCTCCCCCATAACAGTTATTCGACCCCTTGACTTGTGCCTGCTACATAAATTCAAAGACTTTATTTGGTATCCATGTTCTAGATATTGAATAAGCAATTTGGGAGAATGAATTAATGGCCTGGCTCATGCAGAAAATCCCCTGAAGAAATATTAAAATTGCTTTACTCCTGAATCAATAATATCAAGCACCATTGAGGAGGCGTTTTATGTGCAGCAGCAGCAGCAGTAGGTAGTGTTACTTGTTGGTTGTGGTCGCCTTGATGTGTAGTACAACACCATCGCTGTAGCATTTAATAATGCATGCAGGGGAAAGGTGTTTAAATGGAGCGTCCTCTTTTGTCAACAGTCCTGAGGTCAAACTGTCTGCCACAGAAACCGACCTCTGGCCTCAGTCAGAGGCTCCAAGACTTTGGTTACAGTTCTCTTTTGGTTTTGGTTTTTTTCTTACGTTGCGTAGGAACAAACTTTTCCGATGTAATAATCAAAAACAAATCGATTATTGTCGTCTTATTTTTTAGCAGAAAGACAGCTCAGAACTTGTACTGAAATACCAAATGATAACACACACACACACTCGGGCACACACACACAATGCTTTCATTTGCCTCCATGCTCCATTGAGTGTGTGTGGTTACATTATAGAGCAGCTTATTGAAATCTTACATTTCCTCTGCTGAAAAATATCCCGCATTAAGGCACAATAGAAAAGAAAAAAAAAGAATTCAGAGTAGCTTTCATATTTGGCTGATAGAATTACAGCTCTTTGTGTTCACAATTTAATTCCCCGACACAAACAAAGACACACAGGGTCTTCTCCTCCTGCTCCAAAATAGAAGGCTTTAATTGGAATTGAGAGAGAGAGAGAGAGAAATAAGTATAGAAGGCCCCCTTAATGATATTAATGTACATTTTGAATTTATCACATACATGTGTCGGAGCCTCCTTAAATGGGGCTTTTTAAGCAGCCACGAAGCATGAAATGAATTTTCTTCAGCCTTTCTCTATTTAAAAGATGTCTTGTGTGGAGCTGTCCACGCTGCTCTCCCATCAGCTCATTAAAATGTAATGCTGATGCTGGCTCTATGGAACAGTGCCTCTTAACCAAAGTTCATCGCTGGGGATCTCTGGGTGGGGGTGGTGGGGGGTGGCGGTGGTTCGGGGTGAGGAGGGGTGAGACAGCGGTGGAGTGGAGTGGAGTGGAGTGGGGTGGGGTGGGATGTCCTGGGTCCTGCTGTAGCTGCCACTTTGAAAACGACATGGTGCCACGAGTGTTTCCAAGGAAAGTGAGGCTCAAATAAAGATGTTACAACTAAGATGTGGGAAAACAGTTTGTTAGTTCCAACGCACGGGGAATTATCTGGCTAGGGTTTTGGACTTTTTTTGTCTTTATAATCTATTAAGGTTTTTGTAATCAGGGATAGTTTTAGATGTGTGAATTTGAATTATTCCTTTCCTTTTAATTTTCTGTCCTGTTTGAATTTGGGAATATCTGTCGTCCTTTGGTTGTTGTTTATTTATTGTCTTATTCTGTGGTTTTTGTGATTTGTAACTCTTCCATGGAAATAGTTTTTTTAATGATAAGAATCTGAGAGAAGATTTTTTTAAACCTGGTTATGTAAAGCCGTCATTCGCAAAAACAGGGTCGGGACACACAAATGGGTCACAGATCATTTTTCTGGGGTCCTTTAAAATGTACTTAAATGTTCATAAATATTAGTAAGTATTGCAAATATTTTTTTTTTTTTTTGATATTTACAACAGCTTTATTTGCCAGCATACAGTCCAAGTAATTTATATTGTGTAACAGTGTGGCAGTATAATTCCACAATCTGGCTGCTGGTTCAACGTCTACATTTTGTGAACAGTTTGTGACAGTTTGTGAATACGAAACTTACAGATATATTTCAGGTTAATTTACTATTTACTATTTACTCAACATATTACATGACTGTAAGAATTATGGCCAGGATGGAAATGTAAAAAATACAAAAATATATGATAATAATAATAATACAAACATCACTTCAATGGCTCCATCCAAGCAGACTGGTAATTATGTTTATTGTCTGATCCTGGAGTTTCCAGATTTTAGCAATTTGGAAGAAATATCTTTGTGCAAAAAAAAAGGTAGTTTAAATCATTAACAGCTATTTTAAACACATTTTTGCATTTTTTAAGTTTTTCTAATTATTATTTTTTTTTTATTTTTAACTATCTGATCCCCTATTTAGACATTTTTATTCTATTATATAATTATCATTTCCATTTTTACCAGTATTTTTTATAAAGTTCCACTTACACACGTCTGACCAAATCTGGCTTTTTAAGATATTTTCTAACATTAAAAAGTCTCTCTAGCTCTATCTCTCTCTCACACACGTGCGCGCAAACGCGCGCGCGCGCACACATAAACACACACGCACTCACACATAATAGATGTACTAAAGAAAACTGGCCTGCTTTATAGCGCCACGGGATCTGGTCACCGAATATTGATCGGTTTTCATCTCGACAGATTCACTCAGTCCTGGATGTACTGCTGATTGTTGAGGGAGTTTGGTCTGAAAGATTGAATTGCACCTCTGAGACCGCGGGCGGACTCCACTCGACATGCTGGGCAGCACAAAGTTGCTCAAACAAAAATATTCTGCTGTGGGTGGATGGATGCTGATGCTGCTGCTGCTGCTGCTGTTGGTGATGTTGGTGATGCTGGTGATGCTGGTGATGCTGGTGCGTTATGGCGCACATATTCCCATTTCCATATTTTGCACAGCGCCCCCCGCGCTCCTTATTGTTTAATTATATTCAATATAATTGAATTTTACCAGGGCCAAGATGATAATATATACAGGCTTTTTGCGTGTTTGTTTTCTACCTGTTAATGGATGAGACGCTGGGGACAGTGTCGTTGTCGCAGATCCCCTCTGCCAGCAGTCTGTCTCTGATCTCCCAGGCAAACATGGTGGGATTTTGTCTCTTGTAATCTGCGATTTTTTCCACCACCTTTGGTGTGGCCACTTTAGGTTTCGACCCACCGATCACCCCTGGTTTGATGCTGCCTGTCTCATAGTATCTGTAAATGAGGGGAAGCATTTCAAATCAGCAATCAGCTACAAAAATAAAATAAAAATAAAAATAATTTCATTAAAAAAAATTAAAAAACAAAAACAAAAAATTAAAACAAAAACTACATATTTTAAAACCAAAAATGTACTATAACAATATCTTAAAATTGGAGTTCCTATTAGGTGATTTTTGATTCTAGCGTAAATATATGTAAATATTTAAATATTGTTTTTTTTAAAAAAAAAAACAACAACTTTTTTGCGCTTTACGACAGAAGCAAATGGCTGCACTTTATTTATTGGAAGGATGTTATTAACACATTTTTTATTTTTCGATATTTTTCAATAGCTGTTATACAATTTTAACTATATTATTATTATTATCATCATCATCATTATTATTATTATTATTCAACCATATCTGAAGGCGGTACGATTATGGGGTCACTGAGACAAAACGTGTTCTTAATGCGCGACGTAAAAATTCAAATATTATCATTTTTGGATGATCCCCGTCCATCACGTCACCATCTCCCCACTCAGCTCCACACATCCACAGACAGTGTGAGCCACGGCTGAGGGCAGTCAGCCGTGGCACCACTGGCCGCTGACTCGTGCGCACCTACCTGCCCAGGATCTTGCTGACGCAGCCGTGACTGACCCGCAGCTGCCTGGAGATGTCACAGGGCCGGACTCCCTGGTGGGCCAGCTCCACTATCCGCTGTCTGACCACGTCAGGGAGGGGTCTGCCGTTCACAAACACGCCGCCGAGCTGGTTCACACCTCCGTGCCCTACGTGGGATACAACAGCAGCACACACACAAACGTAACATTACATAAAGTCGTTACGCAGAGGGAAAAAGAACGTTGAGGAGGAATGGGTTAGATGTTTGTTTTTTTTTTTTGTCTGTGTGAAAACAGAGCTCATATCTAATCATTGCAGTTTTCTTTCAAATGCGTGGCATGTATTTTCACATATTTAAGGATTTTTTTAGATCAGTTTAACAGCTTCAGAATAATATGAAATTATTTAAAATTATTTTTTAAGAAAAAAATGATCGAAAAATATATTTATTTAAAAATGTAAACAGTTTTTTTTCAAATGTGTTATTTTTATTATTTAAAGTAAGACTATTTGGTGCTGTATATTCTATTAAAATAAATATATAAAAATAATTATAATAAAAATTAAAAAAATAAACTGAATGCTGTTTGTTCAGTAATATATGTTTTTTATTGTTATTATGAATCTATTTTTTAAATTAATTAACCATGTGATTTAGACGCTGTTTAATCACATGAATATTATTTGACATAAAATCTGGAAAATTTTTAAAAACAAGATCCAAATTGTATTTAGAGCTCATTCCAGCTCAGTCAGAGCCACTTCTTCTGCTCTCCCTGCAGCTCCTCTTTGGTGTTCAGTTACCAGCTCTCTTATTTTGTCCACATGGCAATTTTAAATAATTAAAAAGACGTTGATTACTCATATTACATATTATTTGGTAAACGAAGACGTCATCAATTATTCACACACGTACAACAACGTTGCAGAGGAGCCACCACACTGCCCACTGTGGAGCAGCTCTGGTCGCACAGGACTGGGTAATCTGGATAAAGTGAAATAATATACGTGTCCAGACTTATTAGGCCTAATACACACACACACACACACACACACACACACACACAAACAACGCGGGAAGCTGCAGGCGGATCCACGTGTAAATGACTGAGCACCTGCCAACGCGTGTTCTTTGTTTACAAGTTTAATTCCTCTCCATCACTCCTGTGTTTTCCCCTTTTTTATTTAAATTTTTTAGTAATTATCAGTGTCTACATACCAATGTATCAGCTCCTTCACTGTGACTGTGTGCAGCAGGGTGATAAGTGTGAGCTCGTGCAGGAGCAGCTTCATGTTTTCATCTTTGCTTGCTGGTTCGTTTATTGACTTCTAATTTCTCCGTTATTTTTATGCGCAAATGTGTCGTTTACCGCAAACAAACCGCTTTATTCCTCCGCTGCATTAGGCAGAAAACGGTGCACTTGTTCTGGGTTATTTATGTAAGGGCTGCAGTGTAGGAGACCAACTCGGGGTTGTGCTACTTACGGTGCATCGCAGTGAAGGGGTCTGCCTTGCAGTGAATATCCATTGGATAGTAAAGGAAAGAGAGATAATCAACTGAAGTCGCCGTGTCGCCTTCCTATCAAGGATGAAAATGTGAAGAAAAAGGGTTTATTCTACTCGATGGAGGGACCGTTCGTGCCCCCTCCGTCCCCCGCGGGATTTGGACGAACAAACGATTTGATGGCAACTTCTTCCTCCCAAAAGTTGCCCTTCCTCTCTTCAGCAGTCCGGTCTTGGAGCGGAGGTCTGGCAGGTGCGCAGCATGACCGTGGGCTAGTTTCGGACGAACACGACCTGTGCTCAGTTCATGGGTGTTTTTCTTCTTTTCTTTTTCTTTTTTCTTTTTTTTTTTTTTTAACAAAGCCTGTGCTGAATGAAGGTAAATCTCACACCGAGTCAACGCTACTCAGGAGACGGAACGGAAGGTCTGAGCTCCGGCGTGGATGGTCTGGTATCTCCTCAGTCCCGGTGGCCTTGGATTCACGCGTCACGGGCGGCGGTAGCGGCGGCAGCGGCGGCAGCGGCGGCGGAGAGAGCAAGCATCGGGTTTCTCTTGCGCGCTGCGCTGTGGATGCGTGAGGCTGGATCTTTGGGCTGGAAATGAAGCCCCTGTCTGTGTCTGTGTGGTTCTAAAAGCTGCAACGCTCCCCTCCTCCCCCTCCTCGCCTCCCCTCTGCAGACCCCCCTTTTGCTTATATGGATGACTTGTCAGACAAAGGCAATAGATGCCAACACTTTGTGATACGCACACGCAAGAAGAAGGAAAGAGAGAGAGGGAGAGAAAGAGAGAAACATGGGTCTAAGTGAGGAGGTCTGAGGGTCTCAGGGTCTCACCGACACAGACAAGAGAAGAAACACGGAGTGGAATCTTAGCTCGGAATATGATATTTATATATATTTTTTAAATTTTTAAGTTTTTATTTTGATAAAATACATTTTTACCCAGTATTTTTTTTAAATTTCCTACCGATTTACAGCATTTTCTAAATATATACATATAAAGTACGCTTTTTATTTATAAACTTTTTTTTAGGTTTTAATGTTTCTCTCCTCCCTCTTTGTTTGCGCTTTTGTTTACTAGTAAGACAATGGTTGTCGGTTCAACTCTTTGAATGTCTGTATCAAATCAAGGACGATAAACATGGGCTTAATGTGGTTTCACAGCCAGGCGTCTGTCATAGATGTTCACACCGTCTGATGATGGGGCGATGATCTCAGACTGAGATCAGCAGCCGGTGGCCGGAGGTCGGAGGTGAAAGTGATCTGCCCGGCAAAACCGTTCAGCCTCTGTAGATGGCGCTGTATAGTTTCCTCAAATTCCACAAACGTGGTGTGAAAAGTCTGTCAAGAAGTAAAAGTTGTTTTTTTCCACCTGACCCTTGGAAAGTGAAAATGTTTTTTAAAGAAATATAGCCTTAACAAAATACATAATTATTTAAATATGAACAATTAGTTTTAGAAATATTATATGTACTTTATATAAGTGGATTTGGCTGATTGTGTAAAATGGACATGGGATTAAACCAAGAAAACATGGACCACTTAGAATCTGTGGATTCATTCATGACAGTTCCAATGTATTTAGCACTGTAATGTTTAATACCGATAAGAACAACAACAAAAGTAAGACTAATATATTTTGTATTATTTTAATAGTATTATGATTATTCATATTATTATTATTAATAATAAAAATTAATAATAATTATGTTGCTACTATTATTTACTTTACTATTAGTATTAATATATAATTAAAATATATGACTATGACTATTATGATTGTGATTATTATTAATATTATTATTATTATTATTATTATTATATGAAGTTGAAGTAAATGCATACTGTCAGTTGGGTGGTCTTTTTCCTGCCCGCTCTTGGTTTTTTTTTGGGGGGGGGGTCTGTTGGAGGTTTGAGGTGTGTCAGAGGTAGAGGTTGTAAAGGGGTGGGTGGCGCTTCTCTTCGGGGCAGAAGGCCACATCTCGCGGTCTGCCTCCTGGTCAGGTTAGGGGATGATTTCTCTTTTTGTTACTGTTTTTGGAGCGAGCTTCTGGTACAATATGTAGCACTATAGGCTGTAATTTCACAGCCGGCTGCACATTTCCCTTAAAGCTACATTCTTTTTTTTCCACCCCTCCCAACCCTCTAAGACCCCCACCATCATCATCACCCACACTTCCCTCAGTTTTCTCCCCCTCCCCTCTATCATCCTTTCCTGCTCCCCCAATTTGATCTCCCCATGTATTGTTAAAAATGTAACAATAATGGGGGAAGACTGGGGGAGAGACGGGGGTGTATCAGTATAAAAACTGATATTATTACTATTATTGTTTTTTGTGTGTGTGTCAACCACATGGAGAAATGAATTCACCGACGTCACTTTTGTTTGGCGTGTGTGTTTGTATATGAACAGCACGTGTCCTGGGACTGCGGTCAGACGGGCCCTTTAGGGGCCCCGCTCCATTCATCCACTACAACACGGGGGTCAGAGAGCTCCGTAAAGCCTTTCAAGAACATTTAAACAAAAGACATCTTGAAAAAGTTATTGACTTTTGTTTTGTGGTCGCTATTTCAGTACCAAAAAAAAAAAAAAAAAGGTTTTGTGGAAATTCGGTTCCACTGTGACGCCCAGCTGCAGTATTTAAGGCGATGCCGCCGCATGTCAAGAGTTTGGAAAATGTTTTTGGAGCCCGCGTGCACCCATTAGGAGAGGTGTAATGTATTGACAGACAGCAATTTATCTTTTGCCCCGCTTCCTAATGGCCTGTGCAGAGGAGAGAGGAGAGGTGGCCTGCTGTAGAGGAGGAGGAGGAAGAGGAGGAGGAGGAGGAGGAGGAGGGGGAGGAGGAGGGGAACTGTGCAGAAGGATCAGCTCCGAGGGTCCAGCTCGCTGCTCCACACGCCGAACATCAGCTCACATTCTGCGGCACCTGTGCAGCAGGATGACGAGGTTTGGTGGTGGTCGAGCTCTTGCGTCTCTCCCGGCGGTGTAAGAGGTGTCGTTTCCTCCCGTTCTCGCGTTATTGCGACGTCACCAATCGATGTGAGCTTCCCTGCAGAGGGGCCACCACTGGCACCGAGGGTTGTGAGTTGAAAATAATCCTTTTGGATTGAAGGTAGGGGTCGTGTTGACCTGGGGTGGAGGGATGCTCCATTCATGACTCTGCGAATATAAAAATGTTTAATTAGAGAATGTTAAAATCGCGCATATCTTAATTGAAAACAGATAATCACCTAGCTATTTTTTTTCTTCCAAATTTCTTTTTAAATTGAACCTCCACCCTCCTTGCTGTACATCCGGTCACTGTGGCGACTGTACACCGGATTTCTCCACAGTGTCCTGCATGTTCTCAGGCAGCGAGGCTACTGCACTCCGGGCTACAAATCCTGCTGGCGTGAACAGATGGAGCATCAATTTGATTCCATCCTCGACACCGTGAAAGATTGATTTTGCACTTGCTTTTAATTTTGCCCATAATTAATTGGATCATTACAGCTGTTTTGCATCGATCCCACCGTTTGAACGTAAAACTCGGTGTGAATTACACGGTGATCTATACTGTTACTCCTTATGTTTATGTCTGCCCAGGGATACCGTACAGAACTATGATGCATTTTTAAATTGAACATTATTACATATTTAATTTTTTAGGGGTGTGTTTTATTTCGTAACATGCAACAGAACTCGGTTTTGAATATTTGTACCAAGGCACAAATTCGCTACTATGACAAACTAATAAAATAAAAACAATAAACTCTTTGTTCAACATTTAGTGAAATAACTTAATTTACATTTATTTTTCTTTTTTTACTGAACGTGGAAATTCAAAAAAGTCCAAAAATAAAAGTGTATGTCGGTCAGATCACGTTTGTTCACTTTAAAGTACTGCAAATATTTAATATTAAAAAACAAGTTATATAATAATCCTAATAAATTCGTTTATTTGTCTTTATTTTATTCATATTTTTTTTTTTAAATCTTCTATTCGTGGTCGCCGCTTTACTATTAATATTTCCTGCCATACGAGTGCTTTAACAGTGAGGTTCAAAGAGGAAGAATGTCACTTTCCTGCAGCCAATTTAACCGTTTACTGTCTTTGATGGGAAATCATCAAAAATTAAGAATAGGCGTAAAAGTCAATGCGAAAGTTTACAGCTGTCAGGCTCGTATATCAGATGATAAAACACACACAGGAGAGTCACTCAGCTGCTGGGAGTCTCTGCAGTGGAACTACAAAAAAATAAAATAAAAAAATAACACAGACATTGTTATTATATCTGAAACACACACATGCATACACTCACTTTTTTCATTTTATTGCATTTAAACAAATGCATGTGGAATCAGGTTACATTACTTTGTTAAATTACTTTTTATACCTTCAGCAATAAACCAGTGGAGACAGTTGGGTTGGTGGCCTCAGGTTCAGTCAAACAAATTAACATGTCATTTGCATTTAGATGTGGAAAGATTATTATTATTATTATTATTAAAATAATAATAATTATTATTATTATGGTTTTAAAAAATATGAAAACATTATTTTAGACCTGTTTTTACGGCCTTTCCTTCTCATGCCCCACAACTTAGTTAAGGGATCACAGTCTTAAAATACACACTCGCTCCTCATTCATTATGCAGATTTTTTAAGTAATTGTTAAATATGCCCCGCAGTGCTCGAATAAAAATAGGACTGTATCTTGTCATTTCTAAAAGTATTCTCCATGTTGCGTTCAGTGTACTGGGAACGAGGGCTTAATCCCTTCTCTTCCCCATCAAACTTTCCACATGAGTAGTTAAATGTGTGCCCCTCTGGTTGAAACTCAACAAAGACTGGGTTAGACTTTTTCACAACTGTTAAAAAATGGACAAAGTACATCATCAGGAACGTTGTGGTTTTTCTCAGGTTTGCTTCTTTTTGTTGCAACCAAAATTCATCCTGGATTTTGTTACTATTGTTGATATTTTCCTAAATAAATAAGAGAAAAAGAAAATAAAAAACCCTCTTTCAAAGCAGCCTTAAGGCCTTGTGTTCATCTCTGTGGGAGAAGCTGGGCATCCAGTGGATCAGCGTGCGTGTGTGTGTGTGTGTGTGTGTGTGCTGCAGAGCTCAGCCTGAGGCTGCTTGGAGATGTCCCGCCAGCTGCCTCTGTCCCAAGCAGACAGCCAACAGCTTCCACTCACATGTCAGCAATATGGGAAACAGAGCTGCTGTCCAGTGGGCCGCTGACATGTGTTAGCCTATGTGGTGTGTGAATGCATAATGTAGCAGTCACCTCCTGGTGGCAGTCTTTTTAACTCTCTCAGTTTGTGAAGTTTTGATTTCTTATTCCAGCTCCTTTGATTCCCTCTCTCCTGTTGTCTTCTCTCGGCCTCCCGTTCTTTTGCCAGTTATCTCCACGTTGACAGATGAGATGATAATGTGATGGAGGGAATGTCAGGTGCGCTGTGTCATTTGCTGATTAGTTTGTGCGTCTGTGGCTGTGTGTGAGGCTGTGTGTACATGCATTCCTCTCTCTCTCTCTCTCTCTTTCTCTCTCTCTCTCTCTAAATCTACGGATGAGCGGCTCGCACATAAGCTCCTGATCACTTCTGTAAATGCTCCCTGTCACCTTCAGTGGTGTAATGATCATGAAAATTGTGACCTTGATCTATGGAAAGCCATAACGTGACTGAATGGCCTCCTCCCACACACTTGGGCTTGGAGGGGGCGCTAAAGGACGGCTCCAAGGAAGATTGTTTAGTGGTAATAAAAAGCCACGAGTTTGGCTTGTAATGCCCTCCTCTCCACAGCCATTTGGCTAAATCGTCGGTCATGGCGGCCGGCGTGAATGTAGATGTGGACGCCTGTCCTCAGGCACCTGGGAGTTTTCTTTATTGAGTGGTGGTCCGACATGATCAACATAACGGTGTTTAGGAGACAGACGAGCAGAAACACTGATGTGATGTCCTTTATGTCATTTAAGACAGAAGTCTAAAGTCCATC